AAGTTCACATGACCCAGAGATCAAGAACGAAAAGGAGAAATCTTCCCCATGATGACATCAAAACAAGAACAATAGGAAATGTAATGTGGGCAACAACAAATGACTTCAGCTCCGCAAACAATGGTCAGATATAACTCGTCCAAATAGCCCAACGTTGTATTTGTATTTTATATCACAAGACAGAGATGATCTTCAGTTTGGAAACCCTTCGTGGCAACTGCATAGACTTACATGTTACCATAAACCATTCTAGTGCTAAATTTGTTTCTACCCTTAAATGTAATAAGGTATACTGAATGAGAAGAAAAATAAACTTTTTCAAAAGTTGCTGTGAAGACCACAGAATTGTAAAAATAGCATGAAAACAAACTACCTTATCATATATAAACAACTTGTGCTGATGCTGAACATCGATAATTCATCACATCATCAACATCCATATTAACCTCAGACAGAAGCAATCAAAAATGTTTCCTGAAAAATAGCACATAATATAAGGTAGATAAACGACAACTAAGCACACACACATATCCTCTTTCTGTGTGTGTATTTTGCAGTGACAGACTGCACTTCAAACCCATGTCTTGGCATTATTTAGTGTGTGTGCATGTGAGAGTGTGCATACATGCATGCATGCTTGTGTGCATTTTCTGTTTTTCTTGCTATTATAATGTAACACGCACCCTGGTGCATAGACTGGTATCAGCTAATTTCACTAGACTAAAAACATCTTAGTAGACTCAGGATTTGGTCTGGAGATTACCGACTGCAGTGATCAACACAACAGGCATTGTAAAGCATTACCCTCACAGCGTGTTGCTGTGAACTATTCACCCATCCAACAATGCTTATTCCCAGTGACTCTCACCAATGTGCAATCAACTCACTGATCATGCATTAGCAACATTCCCCTCCAGGCACTCATCAAGGTATGGATCATATTGATGTGCATGATAACACACAAACACATGCATGTCCAGAGAATGGAGCAACTCAATATTTCTGAACAAATGAAAGTGGTTGAGTATTGGAGTAATGTTTGCATGCATGTCCTCTTGCCACCAGTCCATACTGAACCACCATTCTGTCCAAGTGGGAGGATTTCTCTCCTGTTTACCCAGAGAGAACACAAGTTTTTTAGTGGCTTGAAGGTCCTCAAAGACTTTAACCCCCCTTACACCCCCTACACCCTATTCATTTGTTAATTCATAAAAGGATTCACTATTAACATTTTTTCAAAAGAATTATTAAGTTTTTCAAAAGAACTGACCGTTAATTCAGCTGTTACCTTTTCTAATCTCATCGGGTATGTTTTAAATTAGGAATGTCACTGCATCTCATGATATTTTAATGTTGATGCTGTATCGAAGCACATTTATGAATTAGAATATGGAAACTAAATTTATACCGGTAATTTATTGCCACAGAAATGTCTACTTAAAATCTAGAATAAGAGGGCTGAAAATTCAATTTTAAACACTTAAATGCATGAGCCTATTTCAAATTTCACACGAAACTGATCAACTGCAGGCCTACATAGGCAAATTTTATCAATACACATCCAGAACATATCAATTTATTATGAATTGACATATTGTGATATGTCAATACTAAAACTACCAATGAATAACATCCTTAGTCTAAACCTCACATTCCCACAAATCCAGTGGTGACAAATAGTCCCCACCTGTGTTTAAGGTAGCCATAAAAAATATATAATTACTTGTCCACTGGCAGGTACACACAGTGTTTTGGCGAATGTCCATGGAGTCTTGGACACATTTGGAAATTATGGCAAGTGAATGAAATGTCGGAAGGGGACATATTCTGTCAAGATACAAGTGCTTGGAAATTGTATTAGTAAATTATTGGCTTGTTCACTGACAGCTGAAATTCACAGTATTATATACCACTTGTCATGCTAGTCTGGCATTTCACACCCCTCTCATGAGGACAAGTGATACATCTGAAGCACTGAGCAGCGCCCAGACTTTTCCCTGTCACCAGACCAATCAAGACTACTTGGCACGGCCACTGCCCACCCGACTGAATGGACATTATATTGATCACATGGTGCCGAGGTCACAATCAAATTATTATGGATTTACTCTACATCTCTGGCTACTCCTGCCTGGATTAAACACTAAAAGGACAGTAGATTCAGCCCAGAGCATGGCTATACATGCCTGGACATTACTCCGTACAGTGCTCTCACAACAGAAATTCTTCTAGGATGTCAACGCCAGTGTTTGGCTTTAACGGAACCAAAGGATCAGAAAAGAGGAAATTTTATTCATTGCATATCATGTTATCATTATCAAAGATTCAAAAGTGTTTTGATCAAACTCAAACAATTTTACTTACATAATTAACCTCTCAACATGCTCAAATACATAAAACATGATTCTCTTTCTCATAATACATTGCCTGCGGAACATGTCAGAACAAGACAAAGAACTAAAACAGAATTATTGACCCCGTATTAACCACTTGCTATGACAGAACAAGACAATGAACAAAAACAGAATTATTAACTGTGTGCAAACCACTTGCCATGGTGCACCTTGTATTACACTTCATTGCAAACAAACAATGATTTGGTACTTGCATAAATGCATTTAAATTCAACCTGAACATTCAGTCAACCTTGCTTACGAAACAACAAAACATCAAACCATTAATAATTCATATTATTGGTAAGCATCATATGTAAATACAATGTGAAAAATGATCACATACAATGATACCTCGTTGAGAACCAGACTGTACCGTTCCCAATGAAGGCATCTGTATTGGTAAATTTGGTCTTGATGTTTATGTAAAAATGATGTAAAAATAACTAGATTTGAGAAGAAATAATACTGGTCCTTCTAGATTTTCACTGGTCTTGGACTACCAGACAAGTGGACATGTATAAGGATTTTTCATAAGGTGTGCTGATTCTACATGATGAAAAAAGTTGTTGAAATTACAACTGCAAAAGCAAGGCTTTGTGAACATGGGAAAGCTTCCTGAATGACTTATGCTGATGTCCTTGTGGTGATATTACTGACATCAGTGCCCCTTACATGCCTAAAAACTGCCTCCTCAGTCTTTACATTGTCATATAAACTGCCACTTGCTTAAGTGATAATTTGGGGTAATTATTGGAATGGCAGGAATCAGAATACTTGTTTATAGGTCAGGAACGACCTTGGAATATTAGTGTAGTTGAAAAAAAAGTTCCAGTAAGAGCATCATCCCCGATTTCCAAAAGCGCCCTCGGCCCTACAATTTTGTTGAACACCTTCACAAATGTGCCTATTTCAGTAAAATTATGTTTCCTTATGACTGCTGAAAAATTCCCATCAATAAAGTGTTGACTTTTATGATTTTTTATGTCCCCAAAGCAATAGCATAATGCATGTTTCCATAGTAACCTATTTGTCAATGGCGATGTACATTCATGACTCTTCTGAAGACAGTGTTTATTCTGAATGCTGGTGACTGGTAATAATATTGAACTATTCAGAAGCTTACCTTCTTAACATTATTGTGGCAAAATGTAATACCCCATTCACATGCACCTCTATACAGTTGTATGTATATGTGCATATGTGTGAAGAAATACATACGTTAGTATACTTGTCATGTGAACGCGTTTACTCATGTGTGTATATTTACACCAGGAGCAAATTTGCATCATGTCTGGAGAAGGTGCAAATGTAAATGTAAATTTGCACTGTGTGTATATGTTGCAATGTGAACGTTTATGTCAACATAAGAGGATGATCGATTTAATATCTGTTCTTTTGCCAACACCAAACAAATTGTCAACAGTTGCCAACTTTTATGCGCATATATACAGAGTTGAGCGGACAGTGTTCTCTTTTGGTTTCAAGGAGTCAAAACTTTGTGTACAAATTAAATCAAACACATGTTGCTTCATGTGAAAATTTTCGGTGAAGTAACTCTCTTCTCAATCAACTTTGATTGGAAAACAATGTGTTTTGTGTTAAAAGTCGTGAACAGCCTGACAAATATGTGTGCCTTACACAATTTACATACCTAAGATGCTTTTCATGTGAACGCATAGTACGCATGTATGTATAGTTACACGTGTGTAATATTACTTATGTCAGTAAATGTTGTGCATGTGAACGGGGTGTAAGTATATGACACACCATGTATATTTCAAATTTGACCACTGTGACTAGTAAACAAAAGGTACCGAAGAAAACACCTATCAAGTATATCTGACTTTCCAGCTGTATCAAATTACAACACTGATCATGCTAGTAAAGTGTTTGTCCGATCTATAACCTACATTCTAACTACACAAGGACGTGTACATTATACAACTAGGATGGCTCCACTGCAGCACAGTTGGTAATAAACATGTCATTAACGACACAACACCTGTGGCCATCACAAATCCTACCACCAAATAACCATCAATGACATAACCCAGGCCAATTGGCACTGTATCAGTGAGGGAGGATTATATAACAGTAATCCTGCAATCAACTTAATCCAAGATAAGTTGAACCAACTCACAATATGCATTGGAGACAAGTAGGTGGTGCACAGAATTTGGGCTAACACATTTGGTTTGTTACAGGTAGAGAGGGTGTAAGTATGCTGTGCAGGTGCAGGTGCAGGTCTGGACAGTCCATGACTGACAATGCTCCTGTGAGCCTAGTGTTGCTCATAAGACTATGAAGAGGTCGGTGTGACAAGTTGATACCAAAATTCTCTAAAAGTCATTTTACTTATTTGATAGAAGGTAATTGCAAATAAATAAACATGTCTCAACCTTCACAATCATTTGATGAAAGACACGACACTATTTACTATTTATTGCTGGGATTCGAACCCACAATCATAGGTTTCTGCACAGCGAATGGCAGCGCCTTAGATGACTGGGCCACCAATGCCCCCTCCCTGATACTGTGTTTCCTGACTTCACAGCATGTGTAACAACAATAACCTTTCTTAAGTTGTATGAAATCATAACTGACCTGATGACATGTGATAAGTATGGCCGCCACAGCAAAAGTTCCAGCAATTCCCTGAGCAGCTTGGGTTTGTAGGAAGATGAGAGGTTGATGTGTCGCATTGGTAGTGCCATTAGGCACAAGTGGCTCTGTCGTAATGTCAGACACCATAGATGTTGTCAGTTTCGTGATGATGGATGACGTCACTGAGGGGGCAACACTTGAGTTACCCCCACTTGACTCTGTTGTGTTTTCTGAACTCATCTGAAACAGGAACACATATTCTTGTTATAAACAATAGGTCTTAACATGTTTAACTCCCAGTTCTCATTATCCTTACATTTCATAACATGGTTTGTTTTGCAAACTGTACATGAAATGAGAAAGGAATGCTGATAAGTTTGAGACCTTTTTATCCATCATTGTGTTGCAAATGTTTAGCATTAAAGACAACAGTGAGTGGTGAGTGAATAAGGATATACAGCTTTTGAATTATGTTAATGTTGAGCAAGGTTACCTGTAGCTTTAACCATGCTAATTCACTTTGGAACCGAAAGCATAATGTTAAAATTTAGTGCTGTTAAATCTACAGGTAACCTAGCTGTACATTGAAAACACAGCATACATTCTACCATGACAAAAGCAAAGGCAAACCATTTCATGTCAGCTAAAATATTGATTGAAGTGAAATGGGTTGGGTGCATTGTTTTCAGTGGGTTGTCCATCTCAAGAAAGGAAACACTGATCATTGTTTTTTTCTAAATCATTATCATGATTATACTGTACTTTTCTCTCACAAAAAACAGCCATTATAAGTGTATAATAGAGCAACTTTGTAAGCCAACGTGAAGTGGACACCCCTTAAGAAAATTTTAAACAAGCATCACAAGGTTTTCTTCTGCATCGCACATCATTATTATGACGCCGCATCACTCAATGAGACGAAGAATGTATGACAATCAGCAATAGAAAAGCGCCAAATTTCAAGCACTCTAGTCCCTCAAACTTGAAATACATCACCTTAGTCGATATCTATACAGTAGTAGAAACTAACAGTTTTAGCCCACTAGTCCTGATAATGGTAACACATAGTAAACCCCTTAAAAATGGCAAATTTCTACTAGTCCTTATGATACCATAACCATTTGGCAGTTTAGCAAGGACTACATGACTAGTGCCAATTTCTAACGCTGCTATCATATTTTCAGACAACTCCATGGTTACCTACAAGTCACTAATGTTTTGATATCTTTCTGAGTATACACTCATGCCTTTTGACATTTATATGTTTTTATTAAAGATATAGCTTCAGTCAACTTCAGTGCATGCATGACCAGATGGTAATATATATGTTCCTAAATAATTTTTCCCAGTTGTCTGGTAAAACAACTCCTTATCGGACATTTTGTACCCAACCCTTGACGCTACAGCGGGTATCCAGGTAGAAAATTTGGACACGCCACTGCAGTAGTGTCAAAGTTTTGAACTGATATTCTTATTGTACTGCTGGTGGTATTGATTTTTCATATCCACATATGACAAGCAATTGTTTTTGTGATTGCAACATATTAGGGCTGGGACTAGTCCAAATTTACTACCCGGGTACCCATCCCCTATTACCATGATTACCTGATTCTACCTGGTAACCCGCTGTAGGTCTCAAGAGATAGGTACAAAATGTCCGATTGGGAATAGTTTGACCGTAGCCCTGGCAAAATGTATTTAGATACAAGCATAAAACGATCTGGTCATGCATACACTGAAGTTTACTGAATAGTCCGAAAGAAATGTGAACATCACTGACTTGTAGTGTATCCATAGAGTTCTAAATAATTTTTGTCACAATATATCACATGACTAACCATGAGTCCGTTTAGTCCTGTGAGTACCTGGGCCCTACTCGGTACCAACACAACCTGAGTTACCCATCCCTGCCTTAAAACTTATCACATAGATATGTTTCTAAACAAACCCACAGAAATTAACAAAATAGAAAGTCTGAAAACTTCAACTACTCAAGCAAATCTATGTGAAAATAGAGCTCTGACAATTGGACGAGGATAGCAGACAATATAAATTACACTTACAACATGAGTAAGTTAAATTTAAGTAAAAGTTTAGTAATATTTCATAAGCTTGTCTCTTCCTTGTCATTTTTTAAAAAGTGTAAACAGCAGAAATACCAATGGTGAAATTGAATGCAATAATGTATCAAACCTGTCAATTGTTTTCTTTCCTTTTTCAAAATATTAGCACTCAACACTGTCAGATGTTGTCTCTAAAAGGTGACATCAGCACTTTATGTGTCAGCACACAATAACCAGAGATCAGGCAGTACAAGAAAACATATACGTGAAAACTTATAAATCAAGGATATCTCATCTAACTTGTGATGAATATAAATAATATGAGTGAAAAGGGTTCATGAAGATTGTTCAGAGTTACAATATTTGATTACTATTATATATACTTATATTCTTTCACTTGCACAAACACTCAGTGAGCTTGACATTATGTGAAGCATAAACACCATCAAACTGTTTTGAACAATTCGGACCTAATATTGTTATGGTATTAAATTCCATTAATGGCTTCAGAACAAATCATAATTAATGATGCAGCCATTATCTTGATCAATACCACCAGAAAAAACGTATTGTTCCTTTTCCTGTCCAAAGACATACCCTTGCAATACAATCATAGAATTATTATGATCACATCAATGAACTCTGCTAACAGCTGATTTCTTCTGAAGTGAACAAGTGTCAAACAGGATTCAGGACTGGTTCCGTTTAAAGAATCATTTCTGTCTTCCGTCTGTCACTTCATTTCGATTGCTTTCAATGCTGGTGATCGGTCATACATACCCTCCTGTTCTCTCTAGATAGTTGTACACACGATCTTCATTTCATAATTCAGATAATCCAAACGTATGACAAATATGAATCCAAAATAAACAGAACACTGTTATGACACACGAAATTGTCAATATATCTTCCGATAGCAAATGGCGATAACAGGAAGTGACGTACGCGCACCTGAGGATGACGCGAAAATGTGATCTGACAGATTCAAGGCTTTCTTGAACACATTTCTAATGCAGTCCTCTGTTTTGGTGAAACTAAATCGTTTAGTCAATCGCAACTATGTATGTTTGCTAAATAGTTTCAACACTGACATCGTAGTGCAAACATTTTCATTCAATGATATTTGCGTTCTTATTTATTTTCCAACAGTTATCTCCCCTACTGGGGTTTCTTACAAGAAGTTGCAAAAGCAAAGGAAAGTGGCGGGAAGTGTGTGTGCAGTTTTCGTGATAACAACAATAAAGAAAATAATATTTCTGGCATTCTACACTACACAACCATCATGCAGAAGTCAATAATGTAAGTATATTCATCACTGTTCATAGTATGGATTGCCACGAAGATTATCAATTTTGAAACATCATAACATCAGTCCTGATCATTAGGCCTATTCATAATTCATACATAGTTAATAACAATCCGTGAAAGTGCTTAATTCAGGTTCATTAGAGGCATTTTTAGCTGTGGATGCTCAGACAATCATGCATCTCATGAAAAATAATACATGCACTAAGCTGTGACCATATTATATATGTAAACAATGAACAGTTGATAAACAATCCAGAACTTCCAAATATTATCCAATGAAGATGTTTCTCAAACATTAGGAAGTGATAAGCCTAGTTATTACCAGGCTACAATGGCACTGCATCAAAATGGCAACAGAATAGGCTGACAAATGGGCATGTATCGGCTAAATTGCGCTCAGATTTCTCTGGTGAAATCATCACTCTAACAATATATGTGGACAACAAACATTATTTTCCCCTTTAGAATAGGCATACATTTATTGGAAAGACTACAGCCCATATCCTCCCCCAAAAAGTTATTTTGTACGCATTGCCGATCAATCCTATTAATCATATATATTTTTGAGGGGGGATATGGGTGGAAGTCTTCACCATTTATTGCCTCTATGACAACATTCAAGCCACATTTTCTATTCCTACATTCACTCAAGATAGAAAACATTCTCCGATTTATAATTCTCTCATCATTGTGATGTCTGCTTGCCCTAGAAACTGGTGGTAGGGTCATCAACGAAAATTACAGTGATAAACATTATTAGCACCTATATAGTCACCAGCATTGTTAAAAAAGCTGACAATTAAGCATGAAGCAATTATCTTAAAATCCAAATCCCAAGGCTCTTCAGGGCAGATTTGCACCCAGGTCTTGTCAGTCATCCTGAGTGATGTTATTCTGGTTGGAAAGGGTGGTTGAATCAAGACTTATTCAAAATATCAAGACTCGTTTCATAGAAACGTTACATTGGCAGTTCTGACAAGTTGGTGACGTGTGTGTGTCACCTTAAATACAGGCAGTGTGGATGTGAATAAACTGATGTGTATACTCACTGGTTCTTGGGAGAAGTGAGATTACAATATGCGTAATAGGGAACAAATCTGTGTGTTTTTTCTATGTTTTAACTGTTTTCCTATGTACGCAAGCTGAGAACAAGACCTGAATGAAATCACTCAGGGTTCACCTAAGTCCTGACATTTTTCCATTGCACACAGACCACCAACTGTGCCCAAACACTGTTAACTCTTCACACCATATTACTCAATTAGTCTCTTTAGCAGTTATAGTTAACACCTTGTTTTCGGCAGTTTGTAATCATGAATGTTAATTGGCCCAAATGGACGGAAACGATATCAGATCTATGCAAAGGTTCAGATTGACTTCAATACTTAGATGTGCTGCCTTTTGAAACATATATTGCAATATGCACCTTCCTATGTTGACTGTCAATAACATCAGCAATATTTCATATGCACATTTTGTCACAGCACACCTATTTTCTCAGGCTTTTTGTGAAAGCTTTTAATGAGAGGTAGTGAAAGTATGTGCTGACATATCTTTTCATTTTAATGAGGTAGTGAAAGTATGTGCTGACATATCTTGTCATTTTAATGAAGGGTAGTAAAAAGTATGTGCTGACATATCTTGTCATTTTAATGAAGGGTAGTGAAAAGTATGTGCTGACATATCTTGTCATTTTAATGAAGGGTAGTGAAAAGTATGTGCTGACATATCTTGTCATTTTAATGAAGGGTAGTGAAAGTATGTGATGAGATAATCTTGTCATGTTTCAGGTCCTTCTTTACTTCCAAGACGAAGGAGAAAGAGCCTGAAGAAAGTGTAACTGTCAAGTAAGTTCATCCTCACTGTTGCCCTTCTAGATGTTAAGCACAGGCCCTTTTACCTGTTGGAAGTGATTTAGCATTCTCTGTGTATCATATATCTGCCATTGTAATTTTCTAACATGAAGAAACATGCTTTACTGTGTTTAGATTAATGTGTTCCCTCAGTGTTCTTGGTGATGGGGCACGGTTGGTCTGAGGTGCAGCATATCACTGCGCAGAGTTGTATTCCCTCAGTGTTCTTGGTAATGGGGCACGGTTGGTCTGAGGTGCAGCATGTTGCTGCGCAGAGTTGTATTCCCTCAGTGTTCTTGGTAATGGGGCACGGTTGGTCTGAGGTGCAGCATATTGCTGCGCAGAGTTGTATTCCCTCAGTGTTCTTGGTAATGGGGCGCGGTTGGTCTGAGGTGCAGCATGTCGCTGCGCAGAGTTGCCTCCCTTAGGTGCACCAGAAAATTATGCCCCTGGGTTTGAATCCAAGGTTTGCCCTGATTGTTTCTAGGTCTTTCCACACCAACCTGTGCTCTTTGGTTTTATCAAAGCGAATCATTTCAGGCTTTCTTCACACATTAAGCTAACACACCATGATATGACTGGAATACTATTTTGAAATTGTCAAAACCAACTCACTAACTCCAGATAATGTTATGAATCCTTGAGTATTTACTCATTTCATTGCTCTTCAGTGTTTCATTTAGTATTCAAAAACCGTCTCCGTGGTTTAGTGGTAGAGCGTCCGCCCGGAGAGCGGAAGGTCCTGGATTCGATCCCCGGCCGCGTCATACCAAAAAACGTTAAAAGATGGTACTTGTTGTTACCCTGTCTGGTGCCTTGCATTAAAGGGCTAAAACAAGGACTGGTCGGCTCGGAGTCAGTATACTGTGTCTGAGTGGGTTATTCTTGTTAAACTGCGGCATGGTATCTCAGTGTGCTAGCACTATAAATCGGCATCAGTCCGGTCTAGTACAAGCAGCCACAAGCAGCATGCACATCGCTATAAAAGTGCAATAATCTTGGATGCGACGTTAAACCCCATTTCACCTCACCTAATATTCAAAATATTTGCACTAAAGTACTCACGGAAATGAAAAAACATTTTTTTTCGATCTCAGATTTTAAATAAATGCAGTTAAGATACAAAATATATAAACATTCAAACAACTCAATTAGTAATAATTGGGCCTTGGCACAAATACAGCGTATCAAAGGTTTTTATGTCTTTTTACATGTAAAAGTGTGTAAAAATATGAACAAAACAGACTATTGTGAAACTGAGCATAACCAGGTGTTAGTAGATCAAGGAGAATGTCCATGACCTATGACACTTTGACGACAGGTGAAAACAGGTGCTTGAAACCCACGTGCATGTGATTTGTCAGTGGTTAGTGATTTGTGAGTGGCATTGTGGGATAGTGAATCATCGTCAAAATATCAGAACGTAAAAGTGACATATTCCCTTCTCAAACAACAACTTTCATGTCATTATTATTATGTACATAAACATAGCTGTTATTTTTATTGTTGTTTTGATAACTTTTTTTCCAGGCTAATTTGCATAATGCCTATAGCCTGTTTCTGCCATGTCAATTTGGACTTAGTTTTGTTTTTGAATGTTGAAAGTGCCTACAAATTACCTCCTGTAAAGTACATTTTGTATTGAGCACTGAGATAAAACTAGCAAATCCAGACTAGTACTTTTCCAGTTGTTTTGTTATTTCGTATTTACATCTACGTAATGCTTTGTGTTGATTATTAAATCCAGCAAAACAGGTTTTTTTCATTTCCATGAGTACTTTACCCTGTGTGCAGTCAAATAAGTAGACATTGTTTTGAAATAATTCCGCTTAAAATGCTACTTCATGAGCACAAATATTGTGTATTTCGCACGTTTATGGCAGGATTTTCATGGCATGATGTTTGGTGGCCATGTGCCTCCATGAACAGTGTGGTGTGACCAGCACTTCAATCTCACATTAGTGTTATATGTCTATGTTGCTGTAAGTGAGCAGTAGCCCTGGTATCCATGATCACTCCTGTCGAGTACATGTAGCCTGAAAACCTCAGGGTATTGTGGTACTTGTGAAGTACGCTAAGCGAACACTAACCTTTATCATTTTATTCGTGTTCTCTATATCAGATGTCATGTATTTTATATTGTATGCATATTTTATCAATAAAAGTTAATTATTTACATTAGTCGCTCCAAGTGAAAGCCTAGCCTCATGCTCAGCTTGACAAGGAAGATAACTCTAGCTTACTGCGATACAGGGAAAAGTTATGGATGGAGGCTCGAATTGGACAAAAACAGGACATAACTCAACCCACCACAAAGTATGATGATACTAGACTTCAGTGATTTATCCAGACATGTGCAAAGATATCACAAGTAATATTCTGTATCTGTAATAATTAATGGGTATTCAATGCATTTTTTACTGAAAAGTAAGAAAATGATATTTAAAAAAATCAAGAACAGAATATCAGAAAAGCTATTTTAAGATTTTTGTTAAAAAATTTGATGAAAAAAAATTGTCCAAAAAAGTGGAAAAAAATGTTAAAAGTTACTAAATATAAAACATAAAAGTTATTCACATTGATGCAGATACTCATCTCGCCTGGAGCACAGATACAGTACATGAATAGATTGCCTCTTCTAGATTGTAAACTACCTAACTGTTTTTGATTTCGCATATCTTTAACTCTTTGTGTAAAATCCATTATAAATATTTGAGCACTGGAAGATCAAAAAGGGTTTTAACCAACACAGAAATGTGCGACAGTATGCACCAATGTATAGAATAAAGGGAGAAAAAAAATCGATATATGCATCCCAAAGTAAGCACAATAATATTCATTGTACATACTAAATACTTGACAAGAAATATAAGGTTCCTGTAACAGTAGGCCGTCTCGCATACACGTTTCATCTGTGACTGATAAGTTCCTGTAATTAAAGTACTGGGGAAGGTTTTGTTTGTTGTTAAACTCCACACAGCAATATTCGAGCTGTATAACGTCGGCCTGTAAATAATCAAGTCTTGATAAGACAATACAGTAATGGATATGAAAAATGATCCATGCTGTCTGGGTTTGATGACATACAATAGACCAAGTCAGTGAGACTGAACACCCGATCCACTCACTTACCTCTTATGACTTACACAGGTTGCTGGGGAACAATTCTCACATGGAATTCCCACTGGGCATTGGGGAAGACATATTCATCAGTCTCTAAATGATTGTCTTCTGTTGGTATCTACACTGTGGCTGTCTCTGGCATGATGGACGACAAGTTGAAACAGCTCACTGATGTATTAACACTGAAAAAATAATTTTGGAATTCTTCACAAATATGCCTATTTATCAGTAATGTTTAATGTTGTGAAAGTCAAAAAGTACCTAAAACCTCCAACTAACTGGTATTCTGGCAGGAATCAGAGCTACAGATAAGCAGTGAATTTACATAAAATACCCCCCAAAATATTCAAAACCCAATTACTTTCAATTAACTTGCGTACAGAAACACATGTATTAAATGAAAAACTCAAATGTATAAAAAATAAATAAATCCCTGCATCACCATGGTCACAACCAAACAAATGGGTCACACACTATAATCTCATGCGTTGCGGGCCTTTGCAATCCGGACCACAGATCTTCAGTGTTCTCCCTTTTCAAGGAAGCTTTCTGTACATATTTACGTAAATGTCAGAAAAGTAATGTTCGCCGGTCTAAATCCAAGGATGCTGAACACGGGCCTTCCTTTGCCTGAAAAAAACCCCAAGCGTATAACCAAGACAGCTGTCCCTTTCAGAGAGCTTCCTGCATGAAGACATTCCCGCCAAAACAAAACCGTCGTCTGTCCCCCTGTGCCTGTTACCATATCACATTAGTTCGACCTGCAGCCATTGATGTGCACAGTCATGACCAGGGGTCCGGAAAATTTAAAATCCCAATCGGACATTTGCATTTAGGCCACGCCCCCTTCAAATAGTGTATTTTCGTATCACTTTTCACACACATTAAAAGTTGATACATACAGTGTTCCCTCGTTATTGCGCGCTTCGGTTATAGCGTGCGGTAAAACATGGCTCCCAAAATTTACCAGCATTTTTAATAAACTCAAGTTTTCCAATGACACAATATTTACCCCCATCTCAGAAAACATTATCAGCTGATCACCGCGATCACGTATCACCGGAAGTACTAGTCAACAAATCCGAACTGAAGTACGCAATTTAATCCTATCATTATAATTTCTGGTAATAAAAAAATTGTTCACTGTTTACCTGGACTAGAGTTTGCAATATATATTCAATATTTCATTCAATAATTATAATAATGTTTACAATAATTTCGGTGAAATTGTATGCGAAGTGATTGGTCGATCGCACAACTCACAGTTATTTACAGCAACCATGGTCAGATTAGCGCTATTGACGCCTTGAAACGAACTTTAATTACAAGAGAATGGATACACATATCATAAATGCCGTACCATGACTTGCTAAAAGTCATATTTGAGGCAGTTTGACTATAAAATGTCAACATTACGTTTTCGCAATCGAAATATATGTAGCGCATAAAGCCCCTACAGTGACAGGTCAAAATCGTTCCATACATAACAAAATATCCTGCATACCATCTGTACCAAAGTGCTATGCTTATGGTTCTTATAATTTTAAGTATATATGGTGGAAACTGAAACTAAAATAACACGATATTGGAATATATTATTCCTGATAAAATAATGATTTCAGATACAATTTCTTCCGACCATTGCATCAAAATTCTTTGAAGATGTATCTTTGGGTACGTTTTACTGAATCACCGGTAGATTGGGAGGAAACGTGTGCACAGCTGATTGCTGTTTCTGGCTTAGTTTACCAGAAAATGCACACGGTAATCTTAATCTCTGCACATAAAACAGTGTCTTGGAGAGCAGGAAATACATCTTAAATGGTAAATCATCATGCCTAGTGATGTTTTATTTCAAATTTCATACTTTT